GAGGGCAGAGCCCGGCCTGGCAGCAGCTGTTTCCCAGCGGCAGCGGGACACTGAGACCCTGGGGGATAACTGGGTGCGTGTGGGATGCGTCCCTGGGCCTTCCATGCCCTCATCCCCTGCTCAGAGATGGTTTCCAGGCCTGGATGCCCATTCGGGCACGGGGAAAAGCACAATTTGTTGGAGTGGTGGTTAGAAAAGCAGGGCTCGGTGAGGAGGCTGATTTCTGTGCTGGGGTGGGCTCCTGGGTGGTGCTGGGRGTGCACAGCTGGCTCTCCCCCACACATCTGCAGCTCAGCTTCCCAGGGAAAGGTGCTATGGAGAGCTTTGGTGGTGGCTCGGGCAGGAACGGGCAGCAGCTGGYACAGATGGGTGCCAGGGGCACACCCTCAGCTCCGAACTGTGCTGGAGCTGCTGCCCTCAGCTCTGCTSTCCSSCAGCAGAAATCACAGCCATTTGTGGGGAAAAACCCATCTTTGGACAGCTGGATAATTAAAAGCCCCGATCAGCCCCTGCCCAGCACCCCGAGGGGTTCGTCCCGAGTGCGGAGGTGGCAGCGGGGGGTTCCCAGCAGCACTCAGAGACTCGGAGGGATTTTCTCCTTCTCGGAGCAGGACCCGTGCCTCCCACTCGCCAAAGGGCAGCTTTGGCCCATCCAGGCAGGGAGCTGGACTGCCCCGAGACCAACCCCAATAACCCCGGAGCAGAAGGGCCAGGCTGTCCCTTGTCCCTGCTCCTCCATCCCCGGCTGCAGGTTATTGGAATATCTGCCGGCGAGTCCTCTGTCTGTTTCCTGAGGGCTGTTGTGTGTGGCTCTTTGTTGTTTTCTTATTTGACTTCGCAAAATTTCGCTTTTTATCACCCAGCGTGGACCATGGAGCCTGGAACTCAGAGCTGCTGGCCGGGYTTGGCCACTGACCTGCTGGGCCAGCTGCCAGGTGCCTCCAGCCGGGGCTGCAGAGGTGGCAGGGATGGCAGAGCACGGGGCTGTTCCTTTAAGGCACAAACGGGAACTCTCCGGCTGCCACTTCGCGGAGTTTAGCTCAGATCCCTGTTTTCATTAGCGCCTCATTTCATCTCCTCCTCTCCCCCCCAGCCCCACCTCCTCGGTCGGCATTTCTGCATCTTTGCCGCGCATCCAGAGCCGCAGGTGAAAGTCGGGCTGGCACCCGCACGGTCTCACACCTCCCTGCGGGCTGGACGCACCTCCGCCGCGGCGGAGATCCCTTCCCGCACTCCGCATCTTCCTCCTCCCGGGCGGGCTTGGCTGCGAGCATCCCGGTCCTCGCCCGAGGCTGCTCCGGCGCTCCTGACGGCTCCGGCTGCAGCAGCGGCGGCGGAGGAGCTCGGGGAGCCCGGGGACAGAGCTCTGCAAGAAGCCCAGCTCAGCTGGGGGGAGAGAGCTGAACCTCGGGGGCCGGAGCATCCCCAGCATCTGCAGCATCCTGGAGTCCAGAGCAGCCCCAGCATCCCGGGTATCCCGGGCACAGAGCAGCTCTGGCAGCGGGAACATCCCGGGATGCAGAGCATCCCCAGCACCTGAAGTATTCTGAGTGCAGAGCATCCGGAGCATCCRGAGCATCTCGGCGTCTGGTTATTGCCTGGTCCGGGCGTCCAGAGCAGCGGAGTATCCAGAACATCCTGGGCATCCTGCCATCCGGAGCATCCTGCCGACCCTGCCATCCTGAGCATCCTGAGCACCCTGCTATCCCTGCCATCCTGAGCACCCAGCCATTCTGAGCATCCTGAGCATCCTGAGCATTCTGCCATCCTGAGCAACCTGAGTATCCTGAGCATCCTGAGCATCCTGAGCACCCTGAGCACCCTGAGCATCCTGAGCACCCTGAGCATCCTGAGCATCCTGAGCATCCTGAGCACCCTGAGCACCCTGAGCATCCTGAGCACCCTGAGCATCCTGAGCACTCTGCCATCCTGAGCACCCTGAGCATCCTGAGCACCCTGAGCACCCTTAGCATCCTGAGCACCCTGCCATCCTGAGCACCCTGGGCACTCTGCCATCCTGAGAACCCTGAACATCCTGAGCACCCTGCCATCCTGAGCACCTTGCCGTCCTGAGCACCCTGAGCACCCTGCTATCCCTGCCATCCTGAGCACCCTGCTATCCCTGCCATCCTGAGCACCCTGCCATCCTGAGCACCCTGCCATCCTGAGCATCCTGCCGTCCCTGCCATCCTGAGCTGTCCAGCTCGTCCCCAGTATCAGGGAACAGCATCCAGGGACATCCCCGAGCAGGGGGATTCACAGGGACGAGGAACCTCTGTGAGTAATGGGGAGGGAACCTTGGTCCTGCTGATCGGCTCCTGGRAATGTCACTCTGCTCTGAGTGACAGTGAAGAGAGAGAGTGGGGGAAGAGAGGGAGAGGAGCAGGAGGAGAGGAGAGGAGGAGAAGGGAGGACGGACACGGAGWGGAGAGAGATGATCCTCCTTCCCCCGGCCATGATCACGTAGCACAGCCCACGCCGGAGAAGGCGCCCAGCCCTAGAGCCAGCCCTGCCCCCGGCTCCTCATGGAGGGGGACCTGGGGGCCCCCAACGCCAGCGTGCTGGGGGAGCACTCCCTGCTCGTGGGCAGCAGCTGGGTGGCCGCCTTCCTGTGCTTCATCATCCTGCTGACCGCGGCGGGCAACTTCCTGCTCATCCTCCTCATCGTCACCCAGCGCTCCCTCCGCAACACCTCCAACTATTTCCTGGTGTCGCTGTTCATGTCGGACCTGATGGTGGGGCTGGTGGTGATGCCCCCGGCCATGCTCAACCAGCTCTACGGCCGCTGGGTGYTGCGGGGCGACTTCTGCTCCCTCTGGGCCTCCTTCGACGTCATGTGCTGCAGCGCCTCCATCCTCAACCTGTGTGTCATCAGCCTGGACCGCTACCTGCTCATCACCTCCCCGCTGCGCTACAAGCTGCGCATGACGTCCTGCAGGGCCCTGGCGCTCATCCTGGCTACCTGGAGCCTGGCCGCGCTCGCCTCCTTCCTGCCCATCAAGATGGGCTGGCACCAGGCGGAGGAGGCGCGGCCGCTGAACGGCACCGGCCGGGGGGACGAGGAGCAGTGCCGGCTGCTGGTCAGCCTGCCCTACGCGCTGGTGGCCTCCTGCCTCACCTTCTTCTTGCCTTCTGCCGCCATCTCCTTCACCTACTGCCGCATCCTGCTGGCGGCCCGCAAGCAGGCGGTGCAGGTGGCTTCCCTGGCCTCCACCGTGGCCAGTGCAGACGAGGCCACGCCACAGGTAAGGTGCCCGCAGGGACATTGCTGTGGCAGACCCCACGATTTTGGGGTGTTTCTGCCTCCTGGATGCTCTTGGGGTCAGAACTTTGACAACCGTGGGGAGGGAGATTTTGGGTAACATCCTCATCTCTGACATCCACCTTGTCCAAGCAATGGAGAGCTCTGAAGCTGCTCGTGAGTGCAGAAACAGTGCAAGCAGAAGGAGAGAAATAAATAAAATTCAGGCAAAAATGCTCAGCGGTGCAAAATAAACGTGGTTTCACCCCTCTCTTGGCTGGCGTCATCCCCAGGGGGTTTTCATCTTATCTGACTTTCCACTCGTAAATCTCGGCCGTGGTGGGTGTGAGACATATGGGGGAGAAGGATTTTAACTAATAGCAAATGTCAGATTCCCAAGAGCACCTTCTTTTGAACAGAAGCTTCTATTTTTGTTACCTGCTCTATAAGAGGAGCTGCCAAACCCCTCCTCGTGTGCTCGCTGGTGGAGCCCGAGTGTGTGGGTTTTGTAACAAAAACGTGGCTGCACTTGTTTGTGTTTCTCCAGGAGGAGGTAGTTGCCACTAAATCTAACAGCTTTAATTCCCTGTAATAGGCTTTATTGACCTCATATCCTACGGGGAGAAGGCAAACTTAATTGCCTCTAAATACCTCGATTTAGTTTGTTCTCTCCAAGAGCAGAGCCAGGACTCTGGCCAGCTCCCCCACACGTGATAAGCTGCACCAGGCGGTCCAAAGGAAAAGGAGAAGCAAAGAATAAACAGAAGATATCATAAAAAAATGTTTATTTTATGGCAGGATGCCAGGTTTCTGGACTCCACAAACACACTCAGGGGATCAGGGGATGCTCAGGGTCTTTGGTGGGCCATGGAAAAGCAGCACCCACCCCTCTGTCTTCCAGCTGAGGCCCAAAAGGTTCCYTGAAGCCCCAAACTGCCTGAGAAATGAGGTGTCAGCCAGGGAARCCCCAAATCTCATCTTTTAACCTTTTTCATCTTCATCTCGTTTTAGAGATTTCTGTTTTCTTTTTGGGYAGGAAGCTGAGTGGCAACAAGGCATCGTTCAATTACAGTGGAGGGCTGAGATAATCAGTTAATTTTAGATTGCAGGAGGGGATGGAGSGCTGGGTTCTGGTGTTTGGAGGCTGAAATGTTTCACGTCCTGCTTTTAAAAACCATCATTAGGCTGCTGATGGAGCTGCCTGTTTAGGACAGGCTTTATCCTCACATGGACTGAGCTGGGTTTTTCTCTAAGAGCAGCCTAATGAGAAACTCCTCGTTTACAGTAAATAAAATAATGCTCTCAGTGTTGAGGGTTTCTATTGCTTCCTCTTTCTAATCTGTGGTCCTGGGGCTGCAGTGCGTGCCCTGCTCCCGCCTCTCAGAGAAGGGAATTTCTGGCAGGGTTTTTTCAGGATCTGAAGCACCAAGTGCCACTTTCCTTGGGCAGAGGCACTGCCCACCCCTCCCTGTCTCCAGCTGCAGGTTCCATGTGCCCCGAGCCAGCCGCTGGCTGGCAGTGAGAGCAGGAGGTTTGCCAACAAGCACAGCAAGAAGGCTCTGAAGGCCAGCCTGACCCTGGGCATCCTCCTGGGCATGTTCTTCGTGGCCTGGCTGCCCTTCTTCATCACCAACGTGACGCAGGTAAGAACCTGTGGGGGTTTTTTGCCGGGTTTCCATAAGCTTTTCCTTTGGAACCCAGCTGGGTTCAACAGGAGGCCCCCGAGGGTCTTGCAGGACCTCTGGGACCAAAGATGCAACAGGAAAGAACAAACCCTTCCAAAGGGAGCTGAAAGGGGAGTGCTGGGGAGGCTGGGACACCCCTGTGGATGGGGGCTGAGGTGGGATCTGCCCCTAACCCCTCTGTGTCCCCCAGGCAATCTGTGGCTGCGTCCCGGCCGGCTTCTTCGACGTGCTCACCTGGCTGGGCTACTGCAACAGCACCATGAACCCCATCATCTACCCACTCTTCATGAGGGACTTCAAGAGAGCCATGGGCAAGTTCCTGCCCTGCTGCCGGCGCTCGGCGGAGCCGCGGCCCAGCGCCATCTCCCTGTCCATGAGGAATTCCAACAGCGGAGCCCGCGCCGCCACATCCCTCAAGAACGTGCTCACCCTGCAGGCTGAGACCGACTCCATCGACTCTGGGGCCCCGGGGAGTGACCCCAGGCTGCCCCCGGGCCCTGGTGCCCGCTCTGTCAGCCTCTGGGATGCRGAGCCCCCGGACACGGAGCTACAGCTCGGCACCCCTGTGGCCTGAGCAGGGCTAATGTGGTTCTGCGTGCTGGGAAGGGTCCCCCAGGAGCCCGACAAATCCTCTGGGGCTGATGTGCCACAAGCCATCTCCCAAATTCCCTGTTCCAGCRCCTGGTGCAGGTCATGGAGGGGATGGTGGCTCCAGGCACTCCCAYAAGGAGCATCAAACAGTGCAAAGCCATGTGCAGCTGCTGAATTAACCTGCCTTGTCTCTCTTTCCTCCCTCCTTTGCTCACCGTCACCATCCCATGGCTCTTCCATCTCTGCTGAGGCTGAACCTCAGGCTCCAGACCCTCTGTCTCTGTAACCCCAAAGCAAAGCTTGGTTTTGCACACACAGAGCTGAGCAGATCTGCTCTGAGTGCACTGAGGGGAGCAATGCAAAAACATCCCGTGGATCACGGACAAGAGGTTTGGGGCTGCTTCAGCCCACGGAATATCAGGAAGGCAGATATCATCGCTGGAGTCGTGTCTGTCTCAGGTTCCTGGCACGCAGCAGTTGCTGGTGTCTGTGCAGAGCTGTGCTGCGGGGGCTGCAGTCAGTGCAGAATGTCCAACGCTGATTTTGGGATGCTCCGTGGGGGTGTGGAGCGCGACTCGCGGCGGCTCYGTGGGTGTCTCGCAGTAGTAACGGGATCAGCTCCTCTCCCAGGCTCCCTCCCTCCCACAGCTCCCCCCTCCTGGCACAGGACCATCACGCTTCCCCACCCCAACAATCCATCCCCTCCTRGATGATGCAATTAGAAAATACACTTTCCCCCCCCTTCAAATAAGAATCTAAAGAATCTAAATTTTGTATTTTAAATGACAATGCCAGCCCCCGCCCCAGAGCCAAAAGCAGAGGGAACAGTGAGCAAGTGGGCACTTAAAAAAAACAATAAAACAAATTATTTTAGTAAATTCTYCCTCAAGTGCCTTTGGGCTGGCAGTTGGCTGCTGTGCCCTCCCTGGACCCCTTCCCTCCAAGCTGTCTGCCCAATTCCACGACTGTGCTCCTGGAACTCCCCAGTTTCCAAAAGGACTCAGAGCATTCCCTGGATATTGGATGCTGGAAGCAGCAGCCACATGCCAGGCCACTCTGTAGTTTTCTTTCCATGTTGCCCACGGATATTCCAGAACTGAACAGGAGTTTTTATGATCAACTTGGCATTTATTTGCCACAAATCCCCTGGGAAGCAGGGATGGGTGACTGGGACAGGGTCAAACCTCAAACTGTTGGATCCATTTGGCCATAGATGGACAGAGAGCTTGGGGCTGGTGTTGAGCACCAAGATCAAATGTGCATCTTYCCACAACAGCTTTACATACAAGCTTGAGCTACAAGTCCAGTTAAAAAGGAGCAGAAAAAGGCACCGTAGAGTCTGGAAGTCTGTAAGGTACCAAATCAGCCTTGGGAGATGGACATAGAGTGAGAGACCGCATCAAGCCAAACGTTCAAAAGCAATAATTCCTTACTGATCATTCAGGCAGTTCTGTAATTAAACAGAACTTGCTTGTGGACAAACCCTCAGATGAGCAGGGAAATCCCACCCCATCCCTGCAGCCAACGGCATCAACAGCAGCTGGGAAAACAACCCCATCTTTGTGGGATCCCACAGCCTGTCCCTGCCATCTCCATGATGGATGGAGCCCCCTCGGATGCTGGATTTAGGGAGAGGAATCACCAGGCACTGCATCCAAACCATGCTGCTCTGCCTGCTCAAGGTGTCAGCCCCAAGCCCAGCCGTGTCTGAGTCCATGGGCARTGAGCTGCAGGTAAGGTCTGCAGGAAGCTGGGAGGGAGAGGGGGCATTAATGTGGCTGCTGGGTCAGGGGGAGGAGGAGGGGGAGAACCCTGTGTGAACCAAACTGGAAGGTGCAATCCCATTATTTCCTCTTTTGTGAGTCCACAGGGCCCCCAGATGGGAGGTGAGAGAATTTGAACCCTCCCTTGTGGCAAAGCGCAAAACCCCAGAGGTGTCCTCAGAGGGAGTTACCTGCCTGCCATGCTCTGCTAGATGCACTTTCTTGGGCTCARCAAMAAAAAAGGGTTTTTATGGAAGATGTGGATCATTCCCAAACAGTGCTGGAGCTGTACTGTCAGGGGATGTAGAGCTGGGTCCTTCCCTCTGCTCTGAGAYTGGGGCTGAAGAAAGTGGAGACAATTCACTTTAATGGGAGGAGGTAGAAATCAAACAGATCCAGGTTTGTCCTGTGCCAAGTATTGGTTTTGTTCTAAGCCAATTAAAAATATTTCTGGAGGGGGCTTTTAAGGCTGGAGAGGTCTGTGGGACACGAAAGGAAAGTCTCAGTGGGTTGCTGGCTTGGAGAGCCCAGGAGGAATTTTCATAAACCATCCAAAACCATCTCGGTTTTCCTGCTGCTTTCACCTAGGGTCCCAACATGTTTCATGTGGGCCTCCAACACCATCAGCCCCAGTGTGGAGACAGGAGAAACAGTCTGGGCGATGGGAAAGTGCAGACAAGCCTGCAGCAGTGGGGGAAGGAAGCGAAGCTGGCAGCCGAAGCCTTTCCCCTCCTGGTCAGCAGAGCCCGAGCATGGATGTGGATCCGTCCGGAGTGGAGCCTGAAACACACCTGAGATCCTCAAACCAAACTCATCTCCAGTGGAAAAACTGTTTTAATTTCCTACAAATGAACTCCTCAGCAACATGCTTAAAATCCCCTCAGAGCCACCTGCTTCCCCCAGTCACAGCAGGGGCACGGTGCCGAGGGGGGACAGCTGCTTCCTGCGAGGATTGGGACRGGATCTGTCTCGGATTCCTGAGCAGCAGTTCAGACTCGGGCAGGAATCTGCCCTCTCCTCCCTGGGGGAGGTGCCGTGGGCGGCTGCTTTGATCCAGCGCCACGCCACGCTTTTCCCCGGAGGAGCCAGCTCCATCCTCTGGAATCCCAGCGCCGCGGATGTGCTGTGACAGCGGTTTTTGTGCTGGCTGAGCAGCTCGGCCCTAWTTTACTCCTTTCCCTCTGCCTGCTCCTTGCTGTCCCTRCGGTGTGAGCAGTCCRGGCAGGGCAGCGAGGGCTCTCCCGAGGAGGAGCTGCAGGAATCCGGCTGGTGAGAGCAGCCGGCTGGGAGAGCCTCACCTCCGGCATCATCCTCGTCTCTGCCGGTGTTTTCCTCTCCCCGAGCCTCACTGCAGGAACCCCGCTGGTGAGAGCAGCCGGCTGGGAGAGCCTCAGCCCCAGCCTGATCCTCTTCTCGGCCAGTGTTTTCCTCTCTCCRAGYCTCACTGCCACCTGCCCGCTGGGATATTTTGGCTAGAGGGGAGAAAAGGCTGCCACTGCCCTTCTCTTCTGGCTGGCATTCCTTGGTTTTAATGCCCACGGCTTTCAGGATCGTGTCCATCTGCTTCATGTAGTCCAGGTGGCCGTTTACCTGCAGGAAACAAGAATCCCTTGTGTGGGGAACCCACAGGGTTCAGCCAAGTCCTGCACTCCAACAGACACCACTGCTGAGAGACTTGGGCTTGGCTCTGAYAGACAGAAAGAATGAGGTTGGAAAAAATCACAGAATCATGGAATTGTTAAGGTTGGAAAAGATACCATCATCAAGTCCATCAYGTCGAGGCCATCGCTAACCYAYGTCCCCAAGTGCCACATCCACACGTGTTTTGAACACTTCCAGGGGTGCTGGTTCCTGGATAAGGGCAGGTGTCCATTGACCAGGCTGACTGGCTGCATCCTTAGGGCACACACTGGTGCAGGATGACTTTKCCTCTAAGATGTTGAAAAGCCTGGACCTGGCTGAGTTCCACCCCCAAACCCTGGGTGCCAGGAGGGTGAGAGGAGGAGCTCTGCCATGGGGACAGACACCCAGGCAGGAGAGGAGTTCTCTCAGCTCACCTGCCTGCTCTTGCTAAAGGTGTCCTCCAGGTGCCTCGGCCCCCTTGTGAAAGCCAGGATTATTTAATTTAAATTAGGACACAGCCATTAGACCTCTCACAGAGCTCCCAAGCTGAGGTTCTTGGCTGGAAGCTGCACTGATTCATCTCACTCTGGAAGCCCAGGAGTTACGGGTTCATAAACCAAATAAAGATCAACAATACATTAAAAAACCCAGTTAAGTTTTACTGGAAGCTGAGTTCCATGATAGGATAATCTCTTTCTGAGATGGATGTTGGAAACCTCCCTTCCAATCAGGGCACAGGGGGAGAGGAAATCTCCTCTGCAGGTTCTTGATGCTAAAGGCCATGTGGCTGGAGAGGCTGAAATTCCTTCCCCCTTCCAGGTGTCCTGAGCACCTGAGGTACCAACAGCATCCCCAGGTATTTCAGCATCTCTGTTAAATTCAAATTTCAGCAGTTTAAATCCTTCCTGACCCAGCCAGAGAGCTGTCTTGGCCTTTTATTTTCCCAAACCTTGCTAGTAATTAGGGAATTTCTGCAGCAGGGAATACCTGTAACCTCAGTCCCAGGTTTCCCAATTCCCAGATGACACCCCCGGAAGGATGATCATGGTAAGAGCTCTTCAYAGAGCTCTGTAAAGACACCAGCCCTGCACCTCTGCTTATCCCCTGTTCACTCCTGCCTGGTGCCTGAGCAATCCTTCAGCTGCTCCTGGATCCCTGGCAGTGTCCAAGGCCAGGTTGGACGGGGCTTGGAGCAATCTGGGATGGTGGAAGGCGTCCCTGCCCATGGCAGGGGGTAGGGCTGGATGGTTTTTAAGGTCCCTCCCAACCCAAACCAATCTGGGATTCATGGCTGTGCCAGCACCAGGGTTCCCAGCACAGCCCTCCCAAAGCTAAAAACCTTCTCTCCACAAATCCAAGCCCCCGAGCTGTTTGTGTGAGCAGCTTTGGAGGGGGACATTTGGCTGCACTGAGGGCTCAGAGCAAACAGAAGGATTTAATCAGCACCTCAGGAATCCAAATCTGTGACTTGAATCTGCCCAGATGGCTCAAGGGGCTCTGGATRTTTTGAAGAGATTAGTTAATGAAAATTACCATGGAAGGGCTGGGAGCTGTGGACATTGTCCTCTGGAAAAGCACAACCTTTTAGTGCTCACTCGGGGCTGGAGGAAAGGATGAGCACGGCCTTGGGCAAGGTGGGGACAGACAGGAAGGAACTGGAGTTACTGGAAGCAGAGGCTGAAGGCTCTTGGTTTGCTGCATTCCGAACGTCTCCAGTCACACCATCTGCCTGCCCTGGCTCGGGAATTCTCAGCCTGTTTTTACTGAGTCATTAGYCAGACAGAACAGATTTCCTCTGCCACCCCAAGGACTGATTTTCATTACTTCTCAGTACCCTGCAGCCTCCACTAAAACAACAGAGAATTCCTCTTCCCTGAGCACCATGATCCCTGAGAGGTGTTGGGRATGAGCTGTTCACAGATGAAAGAGAAGCTGAGACCTCAAGAGAGCCTGTCCCTACTGCAGCTYTGCTAAATCTCTTCCAAGGAAACTCACTCCTGTCTCCAGGAGAGCCCAGGAGGGGATTCCTTAAAGCTGGACCCCTGAGAAGTGTAAGAGGAGGGACAACTCTGCAGCACTGAGCCACCAGCAAAAGAACAGCAAATAAACTGACTTGTCACRTTAAAGCCACCCTGGTGGGAAAATCCAGCAATTCCAGCTCTCTAAAACCCGTTATTCATCTTCAGTCTGAAAGCCTGAATTCCTCTCCTGGGCATGTGGTGCTGGAGATGGGAGGGGAACATCTACAACATTGTCAATAAAAACTTTAAAGGGAAATAAAGAACTGTTTTAATATTTGTCAGAACAAAGTGCAGGGGGAATTYCAGGACAAAAGGAAGAGTGTGCTCGGCATCAGTGCAAATACATTACTGCTTGTGAGGAAAGCAGTGGGGTGGGTTTATTGGGGTGTTCAGGTGACTTCTCCCAGCCATATTTGACTTTATGGCTGCCTTGACTCACTGGGACCCACGAGCAGCTGCCTCTGGCACTGCTGCTGCTGCCACGGGACTCCAGTGCTCTGCTGGGGCATCTGCAGGGGACAAAGCTGCTGTCTTTTCTCAGGGGATCCATCAGCACGTCAGTCAGTTCAGCATGTTTGGAAAGGTTTTCAAGTCCAAATCCGCCCAAAAGTATAAAAAATGTGAGCACAATCAGTTTTAGTGATGATTAAACTCTCAGTGAGGGTTTCTGTTGGGACACAGAGGATTAAGGATCCTGGCTTCTCCCTGCTGTGACCCACAGGAACACAGCCTGTCCTGGAGAGGTGCTGCCAGGGGGAGGGCAGAGGAAGGGCTGGGAGCAGGGAGACATTCCACAGACACACATGGGGACAGGCACGGCCGTCACAACACCGACGTCACAGCACCGCTGTCCCAGGGACAGGCGTGGCATGGCAAGGTGACACAGCACTGCTCACTCCAGTGCCAGGAACCTTCACATCCTGCCCAGTGTCCTTCCATAAAGCTCCTCCACCCATCCCGAGCAGCCAGCACAGGAGTGCACATGGCTCCAAACRCCCCACAGGGCTGCAGAACTGCTGGAATTCAACTCAGTGTCCCTCTCTCCTCTGCTTCCTGAGCACAGCAGCTCATCTGTGCCTTCCTCCTGCTCCCCCTCATCAAACACCCCATGGATYCACAGGGAATCACTGTGCAGGCAAGCAGAGCAGTGCAGAATGCACAGGTCACTCACATCCCTGAGAATTTCACTGCATTGATGTTTTGAGCCCATCACATCCAAAGAGCAATTTTAGTCTGCAGCAAAAGATTCCCTCAGGTTCAAATGTGTCTGCAGAGCTTGGTTATTTCAGCAGGAGCAGCAACAACCTTGGAGGAGATCCTTCAGGATTCCCTTTTGGCAAATACTGTCTGTTTTCATAGAAAATGGTATTTTGTGGGGGGTGAAGGAGTTCCTGGAGTGTTCCAGAGCTAAACCAAACTGCAGAGCCAGCTCAGCACCYCTGGGTGTTGTTATTGTTCACTCTTCCTTTCCCAAAGCTGCAGGGAATGTGCTGTCCAGGAAAAGCACTGGAGTCCAGCCCTCCTCTGAACTGAGCTGCCAGTGCTGGGAGCTGTCGGTACAGAAGGAAAGAAGCTCAAATGTTATGTTGGCTTTCCAAAATCTCCTCAGTTCTGGGTGCTGCCTCTGAACCCACACAGGCCAAATGGTGGCACAGGCTGATGGATTGCAGGGCTCCCAGGCTCTGCCAGGTTATCCCTCAAAAGGCAGGCAGCTCTGCCAGGCTGGCAGGCTGCCCCRGTCACAGATATTCCCACATGTCAGTGCAAGCTGTAATTCCAATTCTGGATCCATCCTGCACAACAGAGGGCATCCAAAGAACCCCAGATGGTTTGGGTTGGAAGAGACCTTGAAGATCATCCCATCCACCCCCTGCCATGGCAGGGACACCTTCCACTGTCCCAGAGTGCTCCAAACCCTGTCCAGCCTCGCCTTGGGCACTGCCAGGGATCCAGGGGCAGCCACAGCTGCTCTGGGCACCCTGTGCCAGGGCCTCATCACCCTCACAGGGCTCAATTCCTTCCCAATGTCCCATCTAAACCTGCCCTCTGGCAGTGGGAAGCCATTCCCTGTGTCCTGTCCCTCCGTCCCTTGTCCCCAGTCCCTCTCCAGCTCTCCTCGAGCCCCTTTAGGCACTGGCAGGGGCTCTGAGGTCTCCCTGGTACCTTCTCTCCTCYAGGATGAACAATCCCAACTCTCATCCTGGCAGAAAAYATCCTGGCTGTTTCCCAGTTTTCCGACACCTCATTGCAAAGCCCTGATGCTGCCTGGGCAGAGGAGCTGGAAAATCCAGAGGCAGAGCAGATTCCACAGCAAGAACCAGAAAACATTCCCCAAACCTTGACACAGGCTGTGGCTGAGTGAAGTCAGAATAGCAATAAAATCTTTCTATTTGGATTCTTAGGAAACAATGTATGCCAAAGTGAGGATAGTGAATGCATSCACTAATGCAGAAGCTGCAGTATAAATGGATTTATTAAAAAATTGACTCAATTCTCCWATTGAATTTGGCACCTGCAGCAATGGTGTATCCCGGGCACCAGCAGTCCTGGGGAAACCAATAAAAATGTRTTTGGAGGAAAAACTGACAGAGCTGAATTTATTTTGGAAATCCTGYCAGTGCCATTTGCATTATTCCTCTTTAATGTTTCTATTTCTGCTCTGACAAACTGAGGGAATAAAGATTGGAGCACGATTTTGCTGAGGCTCAGAGACTTTGCTTTCACATCATCCCTTAACACAATCACAGTCCTTGTGCACAGAATAAGGCGCTCAATTCTTATTTTTCTTCTCATTTTAAAACTCACTTGACTGGTGAAAGTTCTCCTTTCATTGCAGTGATATTTTCTGAGCCAGACTGTAATTTTTCCAGCAATTATCTTTCAACCACAGTGGATTGATCCAGCCATTGTTACCTCTAGGGTGGTAATTGAGGGATGTTCCCCTCA